GAATCCAGCTCTTCCCTCAGACAGCCCAATCCTCCCTCTGTTAGATCCGGCTGATATTTACTAGCCACTTCTTAGGGCCTCATTACACAGAAGGCAGAAGAGGGGGCCTCTCCTTTCTGTTGGAAGCTCCATGCTGTCTCTCAATTTGGAGTAATCTTCCCAAGCCTGAATCATCTTTCTCCACATGTCCATAAAACAACAAATTTAAGTGCAGCTGGGCACAGGGAGTCAATGGGGTTGGATACCCAGGGGCAACCAACAGAAGCAAAAACTGCTTCTGTCTGGAGCAAAAGGATTAAAGAAGGTCAAATGCTAAAGAGCAAGAATAACACCATATTGTCAGGGACAGCTGGAAAGGGAAACTACAATGGAGAGGTCAGAACTAACTGGTGGTGGGGAAAATCTGATTCTACTTCTCTAACGCTGTAATTACAGCAAAGAGATGGGCCCAGTGATTCTATTACCACTCTCTATTCTATAAAGTGTTTTTAGTTTGACCAAACCCTACTTTTGTTTAGGTTTGTTTTATGCTGGGATCCTGGCACATTTATACTTCATGTCTTTATCTGTAGAATTACTTTAAAGGGAAATTTAATTCATTTGTATCTCATGCCTACAAAACCTAAATTTCAACTGTTTTGCAATTTTAAAAAGCATGGGTATTTAAAATCATCTATATTTGAGCCAAGAAACTAAGTAGGATCTTAGGTTAGAACTCATTAACATTAAAGTGTTCACCTTCTAAAAACTCTTTATTAATAGGTTTACTGATTTTTCAAATACATATGATAACTATACAAATTCATACCGATTTAAAAAAAAAAAAACCTAACTATGCAAAACACCAGTTGGGGCTTTAAAATAACCAGAGAGGTGCCTAACTGATGATCAGCTGAGCTCTCTGACCTGCTCAGATTTCACAGTGATCACAGAGAAGGCATGTCCTCCAACCATACAAAAAGGGGAGAAAATAGAGGCAAAGAGAAGGGAGGAAGGGATAAAAACACATGCACGCCAAAAAAAAAAAAAAAAAGTCCCCTAAAAAAAATGAGCATTTAAACTGCTTGTCAGAAGGCTTTCTGACAAAGCCACTAGAGTGTATTCACAGGCATTTGCATAAATGCTGCCGGTGAGTTCACCATAGCTGCTAGCGCTAATGGTACATAAAGTAATTTAGTCACTTCTCCCGGCATTCTGTGTCAGAATGATGAGCACCGGCACTTTGCCTTGTTGCATATTAGATCATTAGATAATAAAGTGTTAGCGCATGCAAGCTGACAGGGTCCCTGCACTATAGCTTTGTGAGGGCACCGCATTTTGCCATGGGGGAAAGAATAGAGAAACTGATGCCACAATTGGCCTTAAGTTCAAGTAAACACAACCTGAAACTCAAGAGAACAATAATGACAGTATCAACACTCCCTAAGCCTTTAAAGATCCCCAGCATACAGTCCCCAGGAATTTGCCCAAATGAAGGGAAGACAGGGCAGACACATAAGCTAGGGTTGTACATTACCATGGGTGGCAAGAATTCTTCATCTTTGGCCCCAAGTCTATGCTTTTTCAAAAACTGAAACCCTGAGAGTAGCCACCTTCTGAAGCTACCTCTCTCCACAGCATACATCTTCCATAAAGCTACTGCTTAAAGACGAAAACTCACTAGTCTAAACTCTCCCATAAATATTCAGCCAAAGAAAATCTCAGTATTTATGAATGAAGAAAAAAATGAGGGAGAGCATTACCATGAGCTACAGCGTGCCAGGATTCACTCTCTTTGGACCATGAAAAATTCTGTGAAATAAATTTGCCTTTGTGAACTCTCCTACTTGAAATCCAGGGGCAGTTATTTGAGCAGGGAGGTTTGGAAGTCCATGGGTCACACAGGGAGGACTGCATGAATGTAAAGCATGGTCTCTATTTCTACTTATATGCAGAAACATGAGCTACGAAAGGGAACTTTCCTCCAACTGTCTGACAAGCAGGATATAAATAGAGATGTGCAGAGTTGCTCAAAATAATTCAGGCTACCTGTAAATGAGATGGTAAAAAGCCCAGAATGAGGAAAAATGAAGGCTCCTACAGGTCATCTAAAAGGTGAAAATAGCCAGCAGTCTCACTGTGTAGAGGCTGTCTGAGGTGGGGATGAAGGAAGGATTGGAGCAGCCAAGGAGTAGGGGTTTGGTTCTGGAAGTTTTAAACAGGACAGTTTCAAACAGGATTTTTCAATGGTAAGATAAAGTATTACCATACCCCCAAATCAACATGCATTAGCATTTAGGTCCACTCCCACACATCCCCAATGAAAGAGCCCAATCGTCATCCTTTGCTGAGTAGATATTTATGTATCAGTTTGAAGTGTCTAAATGAGTGGGTGGTTATGTGTGGTTGGTTGATTCATTCTGCAGAGAAGCAGATTTCCATGGTATTGTCATTACAAAGAACTTCAAGGTGTCTACCCTTTTATTCTTCTGGAGAGAAATAATGTAAGGCTTTGGTGAGAGCTAGGCCCCCTAGCTGAAGAAGACAGGACACGGCCACATCCCCACTGTTGGTTAACCATTTGTTAACAAGTGAAATGTCATCATTTTCATGAACAATATGTTAATAATAACACAGCCACTCGTAGACTGGTAAATTGGAGCCGAAGAATAAAATATTGCCTTTAAAACTTAGAATAATAGGATATTCCAATTGAAATATTAATATGTATACCTAGAAGCAAGGATATTTGAGCTGGGATGAAGCCTAGAGACATTTTGATCTAGAGATCTCAAACTGTTAGTCTATGGCTCTATTCCTCCTAAGTGGCATTTCCCCCTTCTTCCCTTCTAGGTTTAAAAATTTTATAATTAGTTACCAACAATTAAAAATCAGGAGTTTTTGTTCTTGCCACACTAGAACATCTGGCCCCACTGGGCCCTCAGTCCCCTTGGCCACAACTCTCTGTGGGACAATAGAGCATACACTTGCCCTTCTTCTGCAGTCTCCACCCAGCCCACTTCCCCTATGTACATGACCTGCCCCCACTCAAGGCACACAGTTTTTTTTACCCCTACAGATCATCACCTTCATTTTACCAAGAAGAAAACTAAGGATCCCCAAAAGTAAGGTGACTTGTTCAAGGTCACGTAAAGGTCAGAGGTGAAACTAAAAATTGAATTTACGTCGAGTCTTTCCTCCACATCACAATACAAAATAATGTTCTTGACCTCCATGTTCTAGAAGCGTCTTTCCTAGCAGGTTGTTTCTGTTGGTTTGTGTTGGGGGGGGGGGGGGGGGGCCCCGCGGGGGGATGATTGGCAATTTGCGTGGTGTCATGTGGTCTGTCACTGACTTCCCAAGGCCAGGAATGGGAGCTGGGTGTAGTCTGCACTTGGAGCACATTTTGAAACTATGAACCCATGACTGGTAGATTTCAAAGTGATAGTCAAGTCTGTCCTTGGACAGGGCAGTAACCATTGTAACTAACCAGCCACAGTCAAAAACAAGACTTCAGTTTTTAAGCCACTGCTCTCCAAATTGTGCCCAGTGAGTATATACCTAGTTTTTCCTCTTCCTTTCCTCTAAATACTTGTAGTAATACAATGCCTTAAGTGACTCCAAGGGTATTAAAAAGGCAATATTACTATAAAGTGAGGATCAGAATAATTTCAAGTACAGGAATGGAACTAGGAATGTAATCATGAGCAGGTATTTCAAATGGCCTTCTGCAAAAAAGTAATATCCATCCATCTCAGCACTAATGAAACCATAAAGAAGCGGCTTTTGAAAGATGATGGTTTACTTTAAAAAGACTGTAAAACTGGTGAAGAATCCCTTCTAAGAGTGTTACATCTGGCTAATTAATAAAAAGTAGTTTGTATATTCCTTAAGTGCAGGAAAAAAAAAACAGGCAAAAATAATGATAGTGGTATTTTTATTAAATTAGAATGCTGGCAGGGAAGGGGTTTTCTACCTTATGAATTATATCATGGACGGCTCACGGCCCTTGGAAAAATCAGACAATCAGGTGGTAATTTGTGCAGTAGTGTTTTTAAAAGAATCCTGCTGACCTAGCAAACTAGAAAGTGAAGTAGAGAAATGGGTTTAGAGTTTAACTTGAAGAAGATAAGAGACATTCTAGCATGGTGATTGGTATTGAGTAGAGTCTCAATCATTATTTCCTGGATGGATGGTTGGATGGATGGATGGATAAATGATGAATAGATGGATGGGTGGATGGAGGATGGATAGATGGATGGATGAGCAGACAAAGGAAGAATACATTACATATACGTGTAGTACAGAAACATTCAGATGTACATTCATTCTAGCCCGTGGTTCCTTTGAATGGTATTCACTTTCCTTGATTCAAGTTTTTATCTGGTTTCCTCCAGTCCTCTCAAAGCTACCACTGATTAGCCACAAATTCAAGACAAATGTGATTTCACCTAAACAAAGTCCACCTACAGAAAGCAGGCTCTATTATGTGCTGATGAGGGGAAGATTATGCACGAGGCACAGGAGGGACATTTAGTTTGGGCTTCAAATTCAGAAAATGCCTCTGACCTAGATTTTGGACATTATCTCCAAATGAGGTTCAATATGAAGTTACAGAGGTACACCAGCAGGATTGTAAAGATGGTGGAGTTCATTAAACAACCAAGTCAGTTATAAACCCAAAATGTATCACAATATTTATGACCTTCCTTTGGCCTTCCTTTATTTTTCAGTCAAGTGGGAGCTGAAAATAAAGCAGTGGTCCAGGTCTCCCTGGAGACCCAGGTCTCTCTCAACCTGAAGGAAAGATGCATCAGCCATTTCCAGGGTAGAGAGATGTGCAACAAGAAAAGCTGGGCCTCCAAGATGTCTTCCTGTCTTTCAATACTTAGTATCAATAACGTTCAATAGAACATTTGAAATTCGAAACAGAGTAGAAAATGTGGTGGAGTTGGAAGAAAGAAACCAAATAGATTCACAGTTAAAGTAGCAATGCCAACCAATGAAAATGATTTGCCTACCATGTTCCAGATAAGAGGGCGTACCTTCCGAGGGGTCAAGCCTCCGAGCCCTCCGCCCATGCTTAGAGTTATTATGGACAAACATGTTATCAGAGACTGCCAGGACATGGCCATCCACATTGACTGTCGTAGACACCACGACCTGGAGACAGAAGAGAGAAATGAATGAACATTTTAATATAAAAGCATGGAGGGTAATAAACTCAAGTTAAATAAATAACAGCTGGGAGCTGAAGAAAATTGCATAGCTATTTCACATAATAACTGGTGCTTATGCTGTACAAGTCTAACAAGAGGAGCTATTGATGAGTGGGTCTTTGGCATGGAACGCTTTTGATGCAGTTTTAAGTAAAATTGCACAGTTTATAGTTATACAGCAGAAGGTACACTGTTAACCATAATTTTAACAAGAGGATCTTTATTAGCATATTTTTTTTACACAACGGTGGTTGTGTTTCACCTAAATTACCCTTCAGTTTAGACACTGAAGCAGATATCACAGTTGATCATGCAAATAAAAATCTTTTGAATCTTTAAAATACCCCCCCCTCCCCCCCACTGTGGCAGGGGTAAGAGGATAGAGAAATGAAAAAGAGAGGTTTCAGTGAGACCTGGGATGCAGCTTTCCCTCCTGGGCGTCTTTCTGGTGTTTCTTGTACTTTTTTCTTCCCACATTACTTCGATTAATCAGACCAAACTTCCTTCCCCCTCCCCCACCCTCACCCCCATTACCACCAACAGCACAATCCCTCCCCAAAAGATCATTGGTAATGAAGGGTCTTAGATCTGTGTTTCGAAGCCAAAAACAAGCAAACAAAACACAACAAAACAAAACAAGAAAAAGAAATGGTGCCTTTGGCCCAAGATGTAATTCAGGTACCCTGGCCATGTCATAACTGACTCTGAACCCAGTTTGCCAGAAGGGACACAGGCAAAGGTGTCTTCTCAGAGAACTTTGACTAAAACAATGAGAAAAAAATGACCTACACTTCTCCTTATATTAAATGGGGAAGAGGATTAAAACTGAAACCCACAGAGATATGTTTATTCATGCGACCTCTTACAACCAAATATAATAATTGTCTGTAATTGCAGCTTCAGCTCCCACCTCATGCTTTGACATGGGAAACAGCAATCAGCCAGCTCCCGTTTAATCCACCTATTATGTTGACTAATTAACTTTCCTCGACAGTTTATTTCTTCCTCCATTATCAGCCCCTGTCAGCCGCAAGCACCCTGCAGCATAGGAGGGACCTCAGGCTCTTTGATTGATCACCGATAGATTGACATGCAGATTAATTTAATTAGAATCACCTCACTTGAGAAATGAAAGACAAAGGCAAGAGGGCTAATAGATCTGCTCTCATAATGAGGCGAACCTCCAGAGCCGAGGCTGAGGATTTCTGATTTATTTTGCTCAATTCCCCAGTTGCTTGGAAAGACTCTCGCTTTAATTGTTCTTGGTTTTGAGAGGCATTAGCCTCTGAAGAGGTGAAACGCTTTACAAGGATTGGCACACACTGAGGCCCCAGTTTCTGAGGAAGCCTTTTCGCCGACTTCTAGAGTCTGGTGCAACGCCGCTGTTTCCTCCCGTGACTTGAGCAGAGGGCAAGACGCTGGGTCTTGGCCGAAGCCTGCCTGTTGTCTGCCCAGCCTAGCGGAGTGCCCCCCACCCCCACCGACGCCAACCATACTTGAAAGTTCCACTGTCGGCGTCTTTGACCTAAACGCAACTGGGGAAAACATGGCGGAGTCCCCTTCTCGCAGCCTCAAAGATGGCAGTGAAATGCAGGCTGTGAACACGCTGCTCCCAATAGTACCGTGGAGTTGGTTGGACTTGATCTGATTTGCCTTAACCTGGTTATTAGTTTTCGTTCGTTTTTTCTTCCACGCCCTCCCTTCTGTAGACGCGAGGCCCTGCTCCTTAAATCAAGCCCCTAGTGTCGTTCTGACCCGGATGAGGAAGTCAGGAAACAACACACGTGGTCATTCCACCCTGGGGTCTCCCAGGGATGACTGCAGGGCAGGGCTTCTGGGGGTCCTCCCACGAGGCCCTCTCTCAGGGTCCTCTTCTTGACTCCTGGCCAGACCTGGATCTTCCCCTGATTTTATTTTTTAATTCCATTTTATTAAACTACAAAGTAAACAATTGAGAGTCCATTCCGGGACTCAGGGTTTTGGCCTCAGTAATTGTGAAAACCAAAATTCCAACTAGGGCAAGTCATTCATGGGAGGACTGCGTACACTTGAAGCAGCAGTTTGCAAAGTGGTTTTTCTCTTTCTTCATGATTGACCAACCAGATCTGACACAGCCTGAACATTATGTGTATGCCTCATCAATTGTAGGGTAGTTTAAAAGAAGGAGGAGGAGAAAGAGAAGAAAGTGGTCCATTCTTTTATTTTCAAAAAGTATTATGTGCCAACGTAGAGTCCATATTATTTAAGGCAAGAGAAACTCACTTTCTTTTTAGTTAGGGAGGTGGGACATTTATAATTATATAACAGAGCTGGGTCTTTCAAAGAATTTTTGATTTACTACGAGACCACAATTGAGTGGTCACTGGAGTCGTTAGCTGAAGAAACTATAAAAGGAATCCCAAACGGTATCTGTTTCCAGTGTCAGGAAATACAGAAAGTTGTTATTCTAGACGTCTGTCTTGAGAGAGGAAAAAAAAAAAAAAGCAATGACAATTCACCATGCACCTGTAAGACAAAATGCTACAGGCTTAGGCTTAAAATATTCAGTATCGTTTAAAGATGTTGTCATCTAGTTCTTACATTGAACAAAAATGACAAAAACGGTTAAGTTAAAAAAAAAACAACACAACAACAACCACACTCTATGTGTTTTTTTTTTCTTTGCAAAAGAAGGATCACCAAGACCACTGTGTGACAGAATCATTTCACTGAAGTTTCAATTCAAATTGGAGAAGGATAAAACAGAATCCTCATGCGTTTAATTTCTAGAAAATAAACACCTAATATGTTCCTCAAAAACTCATGACAGTACATTTTAACTTCCCGCTTCCCAAAATAATTTCTCTCATTCCAATTTGTGAATGATGAAGATATCTTTAAATAAAACATAAGCTGAAATTAATCTACTGAACTTGTAAATTTTTAAAAAATCTGTGAGATGCAGAGGGGGCACTGAAGTGTCCTTTAAAAACAGGCCCATAGTGGGAAGGAAAGGGCCTTCACAGTTTAACACAAGATTAATGAGGTGCTGACACATTCATGCAGGCAAGGGGACAGACAGGCCTGCCAACTCTTCAACCTTCCCAAATTTTGTCAACAAAACACAGCTTGAATTTGGGACAGGTAAACATGGAAAATGATTTTACATTTGGACTCAACACTTCCCTCTCTAACCCCTTCCTCACTCTCCTACCCAGGGAAAGAAATGAAGGGAATATGAGGAACAGGTATATTTAAATTTTTATGGTATGTGTTATAAATAAGTCTTTACTTTTTAGAATTGTACTTTCCAATACAGTAACTACACATGTAGCTATTTAAATTTAAACTAATTAAGTAAAATTTTAAATTCCATTGTTTCTGAGTCTCCATAGCTACATTTCAAGTGGTTAGTAGCCACATGCAGCTAGAGTCTACTATTGGACAGGACAGATATAGACCATTTCCATTGTTGCAGAATGTTCTATTGGGCCGTGCTCCTGTAGAATGGTTTTGAAATAAATTGTTCCAATTTATTCATGAGGATGTCCGAGTTATGTCTCCTAAAATAGGTATTAGTCTAAGTTGACATGTTTAAGGTTATGTACAAGTATATTTTTATCACTATATTTTTTTAGAATTAATTTTCTATTTAGGGCATAGGTTTCTAATACAGCAATCCATAGATGTACTGATGAACACCCAGTGTGTTCCATGGTACCTTCTATTTGGGTCCAGCCCCCCAGGTGAGGGCTCTCAGCATGAGGGGATTAAAAAACAAAAAACAAACAAACAAACAAAAACAAACAAACAGACAGACAAACAAAAACCAAGAGAAATCTGCAGGTACCCATGGACTTTGGAGATTTTACATTAACATCTTGGCTCATCTCAGTGGCTCAGAATCTCCTCTGTTTTATCCAGGAACTAGATATCCCTAAACGTTGTTATTTTTACAATTTTACCCTCTCAATTTAGAATTGGAAAAAATTCAATACAAAATTTATGATGCTGGACTCCCTATCTTTCCTAGGTGATGTGACTCTGGCCAGGTTAACTTAACCCTAAACTACAGTGTTCCTGCCTCTCAAGAGGAAAAAATAATAACAATCCCTGATTCTGTGAGGCTTCCATTATTTAAAGTGGCCAGCATGGCTCCTGGCTCCTACTGAGCACTCAAAAAATGTTAGTGGCAGTAGTAGTGTAGTTGTTGCTTTGTTGGTGATACTCCACAAAAAGTTCAAGATAATGTGTTGGGCTGATCATCTGAAGCCTAAAGAAGACCCAGTATAAACTGTTATTTTAAATAAAAGGATACAGAAACTGTCTCTAATATGTTCACTGCTTTACCAGTCTAACAATGAAATCGTACAATTTTAAAGACCTTTGTTCCCACAACATATAATTATATCATTTAGGCCTCATGTGAATTGCAAATTTCACTGGTTTATATAATTTTACTGTCTAGAACCCATTGGCATCTTAGCTTATTATATTCTAGGCTTGAAACCAAACAAAATCTTATGGCTTTGAAAATAATCTATAAACTAGACATCAATTCAGTCTAGTTTCATATGAATTAGGGGTTCTCTGGGAGTTTTGTTATTGGTATTTCCTGCTATCATTCTTCAGGCTGCCCCTGTTTTCTGCATATCAGGCAGGAGACCTTGTATGTCCCAACTAAATTATCTAAGATTCGTGAACCATAATCTCTGTCTCATGAGCAGATTTTCAAAAAGACAAAAGCAGCTAAAATCCAGTCATGGGTGGAAGATCACATTAACAAAAGTAGCAGTTCATGGAGAAGAAGGATTTATGACAAAAGCAACCAAAAGAGTTGAAATCTGTATTTTTAAACACTTCCAAAACAAATATGGAATCAAGAGAAAGATTAGATCATAAAAAATATTTTCAATGCTTAAATTTAGAATATTTTAGTAGTAAGTACCTCCCTCCAAAAAGTAA